CTTAAACGCAACAGGTTGAATATATCTCATATTAGTGATTTACTGGTAGCCTCAAAACTCTACTTAATACGAAATATAATTTGCATGTTTCTGGCCTTTACTTTCCTACCCCTCAGTCCACAGGTCGACCCACACCGGTAACTTTAGGCTGATTCCATTTTTGACTCCTCTCATTGCAATCGATTTCTCTTGATTTATCTTTGTCCCCCATGATCCACTTCTTCGCGATGTCTCTTCTTGTTGTTGAATAGTTGCCCTTGGTCAAAGCGCCTTCTTTTTGCTATCTTTGCCGAATCTCCAAGTCTGCTCAGGCATTGCATAAAATTCTCACTTATTCTTCCCTCTTTCAATCCCCTGTTCATTAGGTTTCTTTGTAAGAGAATATCTCTCCCTCTGATCTTCCCTTGTCTGGCGGTTTCCTTATATGAGGCCAATCTTTCTGTTGCTCTCTAGTCAGTTGTGTTTTAGGTTAGGGCAATGTGTTCAGCTATCTCTGATCTTTCTGTATCCACTTTTCTGCATAGTCGCTGATGTTCTTTGATGCTTGTGCTGATTTTCCTTCTAGTCTCTCATATGTATTTTTGCTTACGGTCCTCGCAGCTTATGCTCTAAACTCCGCAGCACTACGTTATGTTCACTTCCTTACGTTGGGGGGGGGCAAGCTGGTGAAGAAGACTATCCTTTGCTTCAGGATTATACGGATGTTCCAATTCAATCATGATTCTGGTTGTTATAACGGTTTATGATTTCTGATTGGATATTTAGTAACGGAATAGTGGCTCTGTCAACGATGAATTTTGTGTATGACAGATAAAAACGTGATTGCCTCTCATTCCACCCATCGATGGTTACACTCTTGCTAATATGATCTAGACAAGGTCGAAATTGCACTCCTCCTTGGATATGATGTGCATTTTGAGGCAGATGATGCAATGAAATTCATTGAAATAATCAAGCCTTATTCGCTATTCACGACTAAAACTAATCGGATTTGCTGCACCTCTACTTCCATTAAACCCATTATACCCCAGAAACAAAACCATAACATGTCTTGCTTTGTCACATTACTAGCCAGAATACTCGCTTTAGTATCCTTCTTACAGTTAAGATTCCACTAGAGATTGTTAACTCAGGCCTATGTTGCACCTAAATTTCATGACGATAAGCTTTATTTGTTCCAAATGAATGTATCCTGATGGCTTTTTCCCATAAGATAAGTTTGGGAGAATAGATAATCAGACAAGCCTAAAATCCTTAAGGAGCTTTTTAGAATATTATGTTTTCCTGTCACTTAAGTCAGTCAAGTATTTCTCATATTGATCTAAAAAATTTTGGATTTAGATCTAATTTACGCAAATCGTTTACTGAATATTAGACTTATAAAGCATTCATCATCTAGCTCATTTCACCTAGTTTTGAGCATCAGTGTCTTAGTATAGAATATTCCCTTTATATTCTTTCGTGTTTTATCTGTACACTTATCTCATTTTTTGTCGGTTTTCTCAACCTCTCAACAGATGTTAAACTGTCACTTATGGACGAGGCCAATCTCCATTTCATAGGTCGTGCTCTCATCTTCGACTATATTGCAGAGACTATTCAGCTCATTTACAATGGAGAGGATAGTGTGAGCGCGAACAATTCTGCTATGTCAGTAACAAGTGAACAATTCCGTTTATGGCAAGGACTTTCACGGTAAATATTTAATTTCCTTAGTAGATAATAAAGCAAAATGTTGTATCTGTAATTGTCTCCTCTCGATTTCATATTCGTAATTATTACATGTAGTCAAGGCGAACTAATTGAACATAACTTATCCAAAGTCCTCTGCTATTGTAGTTATGATAATTCCTAGCGTTTGACCATAAACATAGTACATTCCCAGACGTTAGGCCGACAATGTAGTCGACCTCATCAATGAGCCTTGTCATTTTTAGCACCAAGCTACAGCTCGTCAGGGACATTTAAGTCAATCCCTTGA